TGAGTTCCTCCTGCGATTCAACGGATGATCGGGACATGAAACTCAAGGCGCTGCGCAAACCCAAAGTCACACCGAAATCCTTCAATCCGTGTGGACGTTTGGCACCCGCTTCAAGGAGTATCTCTGCCATCTCCGTGTTGCCTGTTTGGCGGGCCACTTGCAGTGGAGAAAGTGCCTCAAAACGAACACTGCCATGAGAATCACAAGCTGGGCTATTGACATCGGAGAATCCATGTCTAGCCAAGAATTCCTGCAGCTGCTCTCTTCGTTGCTGCTGGTACTCTGCTGGGTCAATCATAATCATCTGCACCATGATTCACACGTCAAAGATCTAAGCCGAGCAATCCTCCCTCTGTTTCTTGAGCCATAGATGGGGCAGAATGCTTGGGACATGAAGTTGTGTACTTTGTTCCTAGTAGTGTCCTTGTTCCTAGTAGTATGGCCAGGAGCCCCTAGTAGCTTCTTGTTCCTAGTAAGCACCATATGGATCACTTTCTGAACTTTTTGGGTTGGGTCGATGTGCTTTGGCACGGCCTCTGGCAGTGGAATCATCAAGCACAGAGGGAGAAACGCTGCTGTGGTGTGGCACACCCCACTGAGTCCCACTCAGGAACCCTTTGGAAGCTGGAAGGGGCCTGAAACAGCCGTAGGTAGGACCTTTAGGCCTTTGGAGCGCGCATACGCCCATGTCAGGCAACAACTGAGAAGCAAAAAATATAGAAAAAGACACGCGCACCCCCGCTGCCATGCAACATTTTTTGCTTGCAAAGTTCACTATGCCATGTCTTGCTGCCATCGCAAGCGTTGCAACTAAGTTGCCGGACCAGGCGTCCAAACTTGCGTGACCCAATCCCTGCTGCATGTGCACATGGCTGGACCAGGTGCCCAAACTGGTGCACACGCATGCAGTCTTGAAAGCTAAGAGCCAAACATAGCAAACCTAGGAGTATCCTAGGAGTCACGTAGTACCGTCCTGCAAGGAGCACCTAGCATGCTCTTTGCAAGACGGCTTTGAGGGATATCTTGGAAACTAAGTGGGCACAAGGTGCCCAACTGAAACACGGTGCGAGACTTTGCCCATTTTGAACATCTGGCACCGACATTCAAGGAGTAGCAAGCACCATCTTGCGAGACCGTCTTTGCTCTAGCATCTTGCAGCGAGCACCTGGTATGCTCTCCGCAAGAGGTAGCAAGACCTGAGGTATTGTACCTGCAGGTGTCTAAGGAACTATGTGGGATCCTAAAGCAGAACTGTTTGGATCACATCCTCGTCAATCTCCCAGCTGCTTGCTCGTTTCAAACAAGATTTTGAAGGTCTCCTCTCCTTGAGTTCCTCCTGCGATTCAACGGATGATCGGGACATGAAACTCAAGGCGCTGCGCAAACCCAAAGTCACACCGAAATCCTTCAATCCGTGTGGACGTTTGGCACCCGCTTCAAGGAGTATCTCTGCCATCTCCGTGTTGCCTGTTTGGCGGGCCACTTGCAGTGGAGAAAGTGCCTCAAAACGAACACTGCCATGAGAATCACAAGCTGGGCTATTGACATCGGAGAATCCATGTCTAGCCAAGAATTCCTGCAGCTGCTCTCTTCGTTGCTGCTGGTACTCTGCTGGGTCAATCATAATCATCTGCACCATGATTCACACGTCAAAGATCTAAGCCGAGCAATCCTCCCTCTGTTTCTTGAGCCATAGATGGGGCAGAATGCTTGGGACATGAAGTTGTGTACTTTGTTCCTAGTAGTGTCCTTGTTCCTAGTAGTATGGCCAGGAGCCCCTAGTAGCTTCTTGTTCCTAGTAAGCACCATA